GAGTTCTTTTGTTGTGGTATCCTGGGTCTTGCGTTGTAATCTCCTGGGTCGTTTGTGTTTTGATCTCTTTTCGATTAGCCTCCTGTGTAGTAACAGCTTGGGTAATGGGTTGTGTGATGACCTTGTGAGATTTATTGCTGTGGTATCCTTGGTCTTGTGCTGTGATATCCTGGGTCATTTGCTGTGTTGTGACTTCTTGAGTTCTTGAGGTGTAATTTCTTGAGTTTTCTGATGTGATGTCCTGAGCGGGTGGCTGTGATGTAGCATTTTGGGTTTTTAATATGGCTTTGAGTTTGGGGTCTGGGTCTGTGTTCGTTTGGCTTCGAGTTCGTGGTCGTGCCACATCTTCATGGTGGGGGTCAGTTCGCTTCATGTATGGTTCAGAGGAGTTTGAAGTGGGTAGTGATGCAGCTGCAGTGCGGCTTCTGGTCTGTGGTCGTGTCTCATCTTCTGTGTGGGTGTGAGTCTGATTTTTACGTGGAAGTGTGGTGGTGGCATCTTGTGTGGCCCTCATGGGTGTGGGTCTGGTGTCATTTATCATGTTGGGTACTCGTCTGTTCATGAGGGCGGGTTTCCAAATGGCTGGTAAGCGGGAGGTGTCATCTCTTTTATTCATGCTGTGTGGGCGTTTTTCTATCTCTATGGCTTCTCTGATTATTCTGCTGCTGTGGTGTTCAGTTTTGGCGATAGTTCTGGTATTTTTAAAGTCAATCTCATGTCCTGTGGCTTTGAGGTGTTGGACCAGGGAAGAGGTCGGTTCTTCTTCTTTTGATTGAGTTCTTATGTTCTTCAACGCGTGCACTTATTCTTCTGTTAGTTTGTCAATGTATGTGGTGGGGCAGGCGGTGCAAGGGATTTCATATACTCCTTGGTTTTCTAACTCGATTTTGTCTTTAGGGTTTCTTAGGATGGTGGATATTTTTCTGTTTGTGCAGAATGCTGTTTTAATGTTGTGTTTTTGGAGGATCTTGCTGATTTTGTCTGTAGTGCCTTTTATATATGGGAGGAGGGCTTTGCCGTTCTCTTGTTCTCTGTCTTGGATTTTGGTTGGGGTTTCTTTTTGGATTAGGTGGGTAATCTTCTTTCTTTGGAATCCATTGGCTGTTAGTACGTTGGTGAGAGTGTTTATTTCGGTTTTTTGGTGTTGTTCATCAGCTAAGCATTTTGTTCTGGAGATGAGTGTCTCGGCTACGGAATTGATCTATGCTGGGTGGTGGTGTGAGAGTGCATGTAGATAGCGGTTTGTATGTGTTTTCTTCTGGTAGATGGTGTGTCCTAGGGAGCCATTGGGTTTTTTGTATACCAAGACATCTAGGAAGGGAAGTTGATTGTTAGCTTCTGTTTCCATGGTGAATTGTATTTTGGGGTGTAGGCTGTTGAGGTGTGTGAGGAAGTTGTTCAGTTTTTCTTTCCCGTGTGGCCAGATTATGAAGGTGTCATCTACGTATCTGAGCCAGAGTAAGAAAACTAGACAAATAGGAAAAGGAAACAAAAAATAATTTAGAAAATTACAAACACAGGACATACCAAATAAGCAAAACAAACAGACAAAAGACACAAAATATAAATTACAAAAGGGACAGACAGGAGATTGCCACAGAACAAATATGAAAAACTATCTTAAAGCTAAAAGAGATTACAGAAAACCAATAATACAATCTGGCCACCCCGCGGAGTTTGCCCTCCAGCGAAAATAAAGACAAACTCAAACAGGATTTGAAACATTAGGCACAAATACAAACACTCACACAAAATCAACTTACAAAGGGAGAAAAGGGTATAAAAAACCAGGGACTTACCATAAGAAGCTAGCTAGCCCAGGAACGCAGACTTCTTGCTGTTCTCCGCCTTCCTGAAAAATAAAAAGATCCAGCTTTCAAGCAGTTGTCTGTATCCTTGCGCCGGAGCTCTCCCAGCGGGAAAATCAAATCCTCGAAAGAAAGGCATTTTGACACCTTTCAACAATGTGCAAACTAAGTTATTAAACTGAAAGAGTTTTCTGCTTTCTCAGGCAGTGATGTTTTCTGTCCCGTGCTATCCAATCTTTTTAACTTGGAGGAACCTTTGACCTTGAGCCTAGCATTCCAAGAAAGTTGAAAGAGGACAACATAAAATTGGACTGAAATTACCTTGACTAGGCGTGGCAGTGGAATCTGAGTAATTTTATTTAAAAAAAACTCCTTTCTAATGGCCTTTCTCCAACAATCTCATTTCTATTTTTTATTTCACGTTTGAGAACAATCTTTATAGCAGCTGGCTGTCTGCCATGATGTGAATCTAAATGTCACTAATTCAGTGGTGATTTCTGCCGTATTTTACATCTGAACATTTAAGGATCTTCTTTTCTCCTTTGGACAAGGATTAGAAATGGCTAGGAAATCATGTTGCCCGCATATTTAATGCCAAACCAAGAGATTTATTTCCCTTTCTCTTTCTCCTTCCCTTCCTCCTTCCCGTTCTCCTTCCCTTTCCCTTTCTCCTTCCTCTTCTTTGTCTTTTCATCCTTCTTCCTTCTCCTGGCAGCTTTGCATCTATGGGGATTCTCAGTCAGTCGTGGTTGTTGCAAAGGTGCTTTCTCAAAAGCAAGCTGGATTTTCTTTGTTTTTCCTTGAGGATGTTTCACTTCTCATCCAAGAAGCTTCTTCAGTTCAGAACTGACTTCAGAACTGAAGAAGTTGCTTGGATGAGAAGCAAAACATCTTCAAAGAAAATCAAAGAAAGTCCAGTTGTCTTTTGAAAACCCATTTTTGCGACTAGTAGCTTCAGGGGGACAAAAAAAATAAATAAGAAAAAGTGCTCAACATGTAGAAAAAGTCAAAGGAATGAAAAGAATGGAATGCATGGAACAAAAACTTCCTTCGATTTATAGCCTCTCTCAAATTAGAAACATCTTTCCAAGTTATGGAATGAAAACCACATTTTGATTCAGGTGGCAACTTTAGCCACAGTGTATGACTTTGCTGTGATGCCAATACAAGTGTTATTTGTAATTGGTGGGTTGGTTATGGTCAGCTCATCAAATCCTTGAACTTGGAACCAGGGGTGGGCTGCTATCAGTTCACCCTGTTTCAGGTGAACCGGTTGTTAATTTTATGGCTGGTTCAGTGAACCAGCAAATCCCACCCCTGGCTGGCCCTGCCCATCCCACCCCACCCCTCCCAGGACTCCCCACACAGCCTGCTTTGGATCCCAGGTAAGTGCAGGGCATGTGCAGAGGCTCGAGGAAAGCCTCCGGAGCCCAGGGAGGGTGAAAAATGGGCCTTCCGAAAGTTCTGGAAGGCCAGAAACGGGCCCATTTCCGGCCTCCACAGGGCCTCTGGGGCCCAGGGAGGCCGTTTTCGCCTTCCCAGAGGCTCTAGGAAAGCCTCTAGAACCAGAGGAGGGTGAAAATGGTCCTTCTTTCATAGTGCAGGAGGCCGACTAGGCCACGCCCACCATGGCCACGCCCACCCAGCAACCAGGCAGAGAACCGGTTGCTAAATTTTTTGAAGCCTACCCCTGCTTGGAACACAATGACACTTTTACTAGGTTCAAGACAGGTCCTGTTTGTACATGCCACATTAGTGTGCAATGCGGTGGAATCTCCATATATTTTGTAGATATTATAATCAGTCCATATATTAATTTTAACTTATCCAACATATCTGTAGGTTAAATCCTTTTGACTTAGTGTCAAAAGAAGTCATCTGTTTTTAGACAACCACTGTGTTATTTTTCCAGTCAAGTGTTGTAAGTTGCTATTCTGTATTCTACCTCGTTGTTTTCACATGTTTCTGAATTGATGTCCAAATCCTGTAAGAAGATGACATTTCAATTTATTTCAGAAATTTCAGTACAGCTATTGTGATCTCATCGAATTAGTGCTCCAAACCATGGTATGTCCAAGATCAGCAAAGCATGTCACTGGGCAACTAACCAGAACTAGAAATCAGAAATAGAGCTGGTGCCATTAAATTGGATTTGATGTGGTGTCTAAATCTTAGACAATAGCTGCTGGCCAATATCGTGAGATTGTTGCATTATAAAAAAAAATGGGGGGAAAGCTGGGTAGATAGAAAAGAGAAGTATTTCATTAGATATGCAATTTTTTAAAAAATGGGAAAGGTAGACTGACTTTGGAGATTAGACCTATTGCATTTAATCAAACAACAGCTGATAAGAGGTGGTATTAATAATCAAATATGGCTGTTTGATCCAGGACAAATTAATAGGATTAATTTGGGGAATGTTTCAGGATAGTTAAGAAGCCTTGGTATATTTTCAACAAGTTGATTACAATAGCAGTTTCTTCACAGAGGGGTTTGGAATTTTAATCTTGTCCTTTTTTTATTACTGCTGTTCTTCCTGTTAACCAATTTGCTATTAATGCAGTATATAGATGACAGGCTAACAATTTGTAAATAGAATTAGTAGTTTAGTCATTTAAAATTCTTTGGGCCTGTTTTGCAAGGGGTGGGAAACTAAAATTGTTGTAATATACAAATCAGCATTCAACTAGGGAGGACAATGGGCAACGAGGATGATTAGGGGACTGGAGACTAAAACATATGAAAAACAGTTACAGGAACTGGACTTGGCTAGTCTAGTGAAGAGAAGGACCATGGGAGACATGATAGCAGTCTTCCAATATTTGAGGGGCTGCCACAGAGAGGAAGGGGTCAAGCTATTTTCTAAAGCTCCTGTAGGCCAGACAAGGAATTATGGATGAAAATTGAACAAGGAGAGATTTAATCAGGAAATAAGGAGAAACTTTCTGACAGTGAGAACAATCAACCAATGGAACAGCTTGCCCTCGGGAGTTGTGAGAGCGCCATCACTTGAGACCTTCAAGAAGAGATTGGACTGCCATTTGTCAGAAATGGTGTAGGGTCTCCTGCTTGGGCGGGGGGTTGGACTAAATGACCTATAAGGTCCCTTCCAACTCTGATTATCTGTTATCTGTATATGTGTTAACTCCCAAGCTTCTTGTATTTGGTCATTGTTTTCACTTCTCCTTCTAGAAGAATTGAAGGCACCACTGGAAGAGTATGTCAACAAGAGATATCCAGGCCTGGTGAAGGTTGTCCGTAATCAGAAAAGAGAAGGTTTGATCCGAGCTCGTATTGAAGGGTGGAAAGTGGCCTCAGGGCATATCACGGGCTTCTTTGATGCACATGTGGAATTCACCTCAGGCTGGTAGGTGACCATGTAAGATGCACTGTTTTAATTCTTTACGCTTAGCTAATTTCTATTCATCTTGCCTTCAGCTGGGCTGCTTTTGATTCAACAGAAGCGCCTTATCTGTTTCCCAATTCTTTTTTTATCTAATCGAAGAGGACAAAAAGGAAACAAAATTGCAGGCCACCTTTCAAATGTGACCAGACAATATCTTGACAAAAGATGACAGGTGTAGAGTGTGTTTACTGGTGTTTATGTTTTGCCTTCTCCATTCATAAGGCTTTCTATTGCAAGGAATGAGCAATATTGCACAAAAGAGAAAAGAAAGCAAAAACGAAAAAGATCCCCAAGGCTTAAAACTTGGTAAGACCTCACTTGGAATACGGCATCTAGTTTTGGCCATCATGATTAAGGTAAATTGTTTCAAACTTGATTGCAGAAAATACGACTTCAGCAACAGCGTTGTCAACGTCTGGAACACTCCACCCAACTCTGTTGCAGAAGTGATATTCAGCAGGTTCTGACCACTTCTGGAGAACTGGCAGCAGAAATTTTAAGTAGTTCAGAGAACCGGCAAATACCACCTCTGACTGGAGATTTTACAATATCCTTCCCCTGCCACGCCCACCAAGCCACGCCCACAGAACCGGTAGTAAAAAAAATTGAATCCCACCACTGCTCTGTTGTCCCCTCACAGCTTCAATCTCAAACAGTCTGCCGTGGACTTCACCCATTCCTAAGACGTCCTTAAAGGGGACGTGCATAAGTGCACCAGCGTGCCTACCGTCCCTGTTTTACTGTCCCCATTTATCTATATTTACTTCCTTTGTTCCTATTTATGTTCATACTTATATTTGTTTGACAAACAAACAAATCAATAAATGATATAAAAAAAGATGTTGAGTCTCTAGAAAGGGTGCAGAGAAGAGCAACAAAGACAATTAGGGGACTGGAGGCTAAAAGATACGAAGAATGGTTGCAGGAGTCGGGTATGTCTAGTTTAATGAAAGGAATGATAGCGGTGTTCCAATATGTTAGGGGCTGCCAAAAGAAATGGGAGTCAAGCTATTCTCCAAAGCAGGGGTCTCCAACCTTGGCAACTTTAAGACTTGTGGACTGGGAGTTGAAGTCCACAAGGCTTAAAGTTGCTAAGGTTGGACACCTTTGTTGCAAAGCACCTGAGGGCAGGACAAGAAGCAATGGATCGAAATTAATCAAGGAGAGAACCAACCTAGAACCAAGGAGAAATTTCCTGACAGTGAGGACAGTTAATCAGTGGAACAACTTGCCTCCAGAAGTTGTGAATGCTCCATCACTGGATGTTTCTAAACAGATGTTGGACAACCATTTGTCTGAAGTGGTATCGGGTTCCCTGTCTGAGCTGAGGATTGGTCTAGAAGACCTCCAAGGTCCCTTCCAACTTTTGTTATTTCATTATTCTGTTATTTTCAGCAGGGAATATTAACAAATCCAAATTTAAAGTAGTCCTTGACTTACGACCAGAACTGAGCCCAAAATTTCTGTTGCTAAGCGAGTTATTCAGTTTTGCCCCACTTTTTTGCCCCAGTTGTTAAGCAAATCACTGCAGCAGTTAAGTTAGTATCATGGTAGTTAAGTGAATCTGACTTCCCCGCTGACTTTGCTTGTCAAGAAGGTCACACAAGGGGATCCCATGGCCCCGGGGCACTGCAACTGTCATAATTACATGCCAGTTGCCAAGCGTCCAAAATTTGATCACGTGACCATGGGAATGCTGCAATGGTCGTAAGTGTGGAAAACAGGAATAAGTCACTTTTTTCATTGCTGTTGTAACTTTGAACAATCACCAAATGAATGGTTGTAAATCAAGGACTGCCTGTATTCCGTAATTCCTTAGGCCATGAAGAGGTTTTAAACAAGGTATGCCAGCATAATTCTCCTAACTGACTGATGGGTCTAAGAGGAAATAGGCATTTGTGAATTTAAAGGATCCAAAAATAAACCATTTAAACTCCCAGGAGATTCTGAGACAAAGCAATCAAACACTTGGTATACAAAGGAATTGCACAACAATAGAATAGAATAGAATAGAATAGAATAGAATAGAATAGAATAGAA